CAGGTTGGCACAAGACAGGTCGTTGTGACAAGGGCAATGAATGTTTCCCAGTCTGTCATCAGCAGATTATGGTCCAGACATCGTGCTACAGGGTCTGTTCAGGATAGATCACGATCCGGTCGACCAAGGGCAACAACTCAGGCTCAGGACAGATTCATCTGCACTATTGTCTTGAGAAATCGTATGGTAACAACAAATCAGATAAGGTCTCAACTTCAAAGGGATACTGGCTTGGTAGTGAGTGGCCAGACCATCAGGAGTCGTCTGCACAGATTTCACTTACACGCCCGACGTCCTCGTGTCATTCCCTGTTTGAGGGATCGTCACATTAGGGCCAGACTCCAATGGTGTCGTCATCATCAACGCTGGGATAATCGCCGATGGAACAACGTAACGTTCTCAGATGAGTCGAGGTTCACTGTGGACTTCCTTGACAGACGCAGGAGGGTTTGGCGCCGACGTAACGAACGTTTCCATGACGTTAACGTCATTAGACATGATCCGTATGGGGGTGGATCTGTAATGGTGTGGGGAGGCATCACTGCTGCCGGCAGAACAGACTTGCATGTTGTTGCTGGACGTGTCACAGGGCAGTACTACCGGGACAACATCTTGGCACCCCATGTTGTGCCGTTTGCACGCCGTTATGGCCGCCGTTTCATTTTCCAAGATGACAATGCCAGATGTCATAGGGCCAGGATCGTTACAGATTACCTCCAGCAGCAGAATATCACCACATTACCATGGCCAGCACTCAGTCCGGACCTTTCCCCCATCGAGCATGTCTGGGACATGCTTGGACAGCGGCTACGCCTAACGTCAACAACCTCCTGCCAATGTCCAAGAACTTGCTGCAGCATTGCAACAGGAATGGAATAACGTTCCCCCCAAAATGACCTGGGACGTCCTCGTTAGGAGTATGCCACGCCCGAATTCGAGCTTGTCTAGCCAACCGAGGGGTTTTACCCGCTACTGACTCTGTTTCACAATGGTGGTAAATTTGCTGTGTTACCCTGTGTTTGTGTCAACCCTTATTCTGGAGAATCTGTCCTTTACTGACTGTACACAGGGTTTCGAATAAATTGACAAATGTTTCCTTAATGTTTTTATGTCATTTGTTTCCTTCCTGACCTCATGATCTGCATTTCATGGTACTTGTAAATCCAATATCCCCTACTTTTTTTGAATAGTATATGAATGTGATTTTTTGGTACAGTATGACGGTGGTTCGCTATTGGAGTTCAAAATTACGAAATGTATTTTTTAATTTCCTACATATTTCTGCCTGATAGTCTGTATTTCCACCATAATTCACCTCCTCAACTCTGTTTCCTCTCAGCATTTGCCCCCTCATGTTCGGGTGTGGGACTCGGTCAGTCTCAACACTCTCCATGTCATTGGGATGGGGGTCTTCGACCGCGCAGTCACCTGTGTGGCCTTCTCCAAGTCTGTAAGTCTGACACAGAGCATAGTTTACTGGAGACCACAAACTAAGTACAAATCTGCCATTGTCATAAAGGAATTCAAGTTTAACATTTAACTTCACCCATTGACATTATTCATCAGGTCACTGATAGTGGTTAATGAGAAGCTTCTGACCATGTCATTATGTGTGTGTGTGTGTGTGTGTGTGCGAGAGTGTGATTGTGTGCGAGTGTGATTGTATGCGAGTGTGTGTGTGTGTGCGTGTGTGTGTGTGTGAGTGTGATTGTGTGTTGGTGTTAATGCTTTACTGCTGGTATCCCTCCACCCAGAATGGTGGTGCCTACCTATGTGCTGTGGATGATGCCAATGACCACATCCTGTCAGTCTGGGACTGGCAGAAAGAGAAGCAGCTGGCTGATGTGAAGGTAACTGACAGGACATTAATGTTCCTCGCTAGGTTGTAACATTCCTTGCTGTGCACTTGCGTTCACTAAAGATTAAAGTTCACTACCTTTCTGGCTGTGTTTGTGCGTGACCAATTTAGAGTATATAAAAGAAATCGTGTGCATCTATTGTAAAATGAACAAGGGCAGTCCTGAAACAGATTTGAAAAGCTAAAGGGGTGGTTTTTCCTTTTGTGGGTTTTCATTTGCATATGCATTCTCCATTAAATGCATAATCTCTCGGGCATGCTTTGCCTGGAGTCTTTTTTGCTGGAATAAGTACAAGATATGCAAGTATGTTTTTAGAGGAGCACTTTTAGATGAGTTCCACCAAACAGTTCTGCAACTAGTTGCCGTAAACGAGTTGCTGATGTGCTAATGTACCTGTGTATTCCACCTTGGTCAATGCCATGCTAATGATTCTAAGTGTTTCTCATAACACTGAGCCAGTGCTATGCTGGCGGTACTATTTGTTGTGCATAATGCAAAGTCGGTGTAATGCAAACAGGACTATGTATTCCACTCAATGCAGAGCCAACTCAGTACTATGCTAACAGTACTATGTGCTCCATATACTGCTGAGTCAGTGCTATGCTAACAGTACTAGGTTTTCCACATAATGCAGTTAGTACTATGCTAACTGCACTATGCCATCCACAGAATGCGGAATCAGTGCTATGCTAATAATATTATGTGTTACACATAATGCACAGAGTAATGCTAACAGTTCTATGTCTTCCACCTAACGCGGAGTCAGTGCTATGCTAACTTCACTATGCCTACCAGATAATGCGGAGTCAGTGCTATGCTAACTTCACTATGCCTACCAGATAATGCGGAATCAGTGCTATGCTAACATTATTATGTACTCTTCATAATGCGAAGTTAGTGTTATGCCTCCAGTCCAATGCTTTGCCCATAATTGTAGAGTCAGTGCTATGCTAACTGCACAATGCCTTCCACTTAAAACAAAAAGTCAGTTCCTTGTTAACTGCACTATGCATTCCACACAATGCGGAGTCAATGCTGTGCTAACAGTGCTATGTGCTCCACATAATGCAGTCAGTACTACACCAATGGTACTATCCATACCACATAATGCTGAGTCAGTGCTATGCTAACAGTACTTTGCTGTCCACATGTAGCACAGTCAGTGCTACAATAATGACACTCTACAATCCACATGACAGTGTTCTAATGAGTCTGTGCTGGGAGCCTCTTTCCACCCAATGGAGGCAAACCTGATCGTTACCTGTGGAAAGTCCCACCTCAACTTCTGGACCATGGAGGGGAACACCCTCACCAAGAAGCAGGGACTGTTTGAGGTATGAACTTAAAGACCAACCTGGAACATTCTCTTCCCTGTAGTATCTCTCCACCCCTATTTTCCATTAGTACTGTGCATAAGTTTTAAGCACATTTAAAACAGTTCCGTGAGGCATAGATGCTTCTATGAACAAAAGGTTTCTAAATTTTGAAAAACGTACAATTAAAATCCGTATAATGTTAAAATCTAAATCAAATCTGTATTTGGTGTGACTACCCTGTACCTGAAAATTAGGAACACTGTCCTGCAGGTTTATGAAATGTTTAACTATTGCTTGTTCAAAGCATATTAGAGAACTTGTCACAGTTCTTCAGCAGACTCAGTCTTACTTGTGTCTCTCTCCGCGTAATCCCAGACAGCCTTAATAATGCTGAGATCAAGGCTGTGTCAAGACTATATTATGTGTGTAAACTGTCTTTTGTGAAATACAAACATTTTTTGCAAGATTATTTCTTGAATTAGCGTTTGGTGTCTTTAATGAGTTTTTTTGTCAGTAACATTACTGAGTAAAACAAAAAAATAAACATCTAAGACCACATTAAATGTAAAAAAAATAAATAAATCTCGGGTGCCAGAAACATTTGCACAGTCCTGAATTTCTCATTTTCAGTTGATGGGAATGCATGCATCTGTAGAGAAAGCTTTTCTGGGTGGTGTTGTTGACCTGTATTAGCTTTATTTTGAATGTGCTGGCAGTGCTGTGATTTCTTAATGAGATGAGAGTGCGGGCCTCGCCGTTATGTTTGACTCCAGAACCATTTTGGACTAAGCGATTGGCGCTTCACTGTGCCTGGTAAATTATTACATTACCGCACATTGCTGCTGCTTCCAACTGATTACTCCTTGTACCTCCTTCCCAGAAACACGAGAAGCCCAAATACGTCCTGTGCGTCGCGTTTGCAGAGAACGGAGACGCCATTACAGGAGACTCAAGCGGGAATATCTACATCTGGGGGAAAGGTCAGATTGGTCCCAAGTACTGCCATTGGTTACAATTGCTAAAAGGCAGTTGTCCCCGAAACATTATTCCAATTAAAATGATTATTAATTGGAATGGCACGCTTGCAACACTTGGGCAATAAATGCATAAGCATTTTCTCTTAACAAGCATTAACTGAATAAAGTTATAAGCTGCGGTGTAAGATATATTTTGTGCGGCGGATGAGCTACATGTGTTGTTTTCATAGTATACCATCTTGTGATTGTACAGAAGCACAATTTCTCCGGCATTACTATGTTGTCATGTGTCATACCATTAGGACTCAAGTTTGCAAAAATAATTTATTTAGCATATTTTGGATAGTAACTGAACTGAGTGTGGAGGTGGTGCTAGGGCTGCCCCATACCATTTACAGAAACCTCTCCTACTCAAACTGTGGCTACACATTAGCAGCCTTATTCTGTGGCTGAGAAAAACATGTAGCAGCAGGATTGGAGGGGGTTGATCAGTGCCTGAAGGACGGTGTGATTAACAGGTGGGAACCGGATCAGTCAGGCAGTGGCGGGGGCCCACGAGGGCGGGATCTTCTCCCTGTGTGTGCTGAAGGACGGGACCCTGGTCTCCGGGGGAGGGAAGGACCGGCGCGTGGTGCTGTGGGATCACGACTACTGCAAGAAGAGTGAGGTGGAGGTGAGTCTGCAGGAGAGGGGGAGGGGAGTCACTGGGAACCGCTGTCGTAAGTCTTCAGTTTCTTTTTTTTTTTTTAAAGATTATTTTTTTGGGATTTTTTTCCTTTATTTGATAGTTATTTAGTGGAAATAGACAGGAAGGTTGGGGGAGAAGAATGGGGAAGACATGCGGCAAATGACCTGAGCTGGAATCGAACCAGGATTGCCGCGACACAGCCTTTATGGTGCGCGCTTAGACCGATGAGCCACCAGGGCGCCCCATAAGTCTTCAGTTTTATTCGTTTATTGCTCATGCTTAGTTCCCACGCCACAATTGGCCATTCGTAGCTGATTGTGGAACTTCTCTGAAATTTCAGGTTTTGATACGAGGTGATGCGATGATCACCAGTGACAATTAATCATGTTGATTGTAGGAAATTTTTGAACCATCCAAAACTTTTCTTCGATCAACACGATTGCCACAACTGACCTCAAGATCTGATAAGATCTGGTAGGATCACCACGATTACTCCACGATTAAGACCACGATTTCAATCGTGCCTCGAATTGTGATAGTGGGAACCGAGCATCAATTTCCTTTTCCCTGTTGACAATGTTTATTTGGAGTAAATACTCCTCATACCTATCCAGGGTCAAAAAAGATACAACCCCAATTCTGAAACAGTTGGGACAAAGTGTAAATTGTGAATAAAATCTAAACGCAATGACTTTCAAATCACACCAGCCAGTATTTTATTCACAATAGAACAGAGATAACATAGCAAATATTGAAACTGAGAAATTTTACAATTTTATCCACAAAATGAGCTCATTTCAAATTTGATGGCTGCTACAGGGCTCAAAAAAGTTGGGACAGGGGCCTGTTTACCATGGTGTAGCATCCCCTCTTCTTTTTAACAGAGAGTGGAGCCGTCTGGGCATTGAGGAGACAAGTTTCTTGAGTTTAGCCATTGGAATTTGATCCCACTCTTGTTTAATACAGGCTTCCAGCTGCTAGAGATTTTTGGGTCTCCTTTGACGGACTTTTTGTTTAATTATGTGCCAAATGATTTCAATCGGTGAAAGATCAGGACTGCAGGCAAGCCAGTTCAGCACACGGACTCTACTACTACGAAGCCATGCTGTTGTAATAGCTGCAGTATGTGGTTTTGCGTTGTCCTGCTGAAATACACAAGGCCTTCCCTGGAATAGATGTCGTCTGGAGGGGAGCATATGTTGCTCTAAAACCTTTATATACCTTTCAGCATTCATGGCGCTTTTTAAAACATGCAAGTGTCCCACACCATATGCACTAATGCATCCCCATACCATCAGGGATGCTAGCTTTTGAACTGAACGCTGATAACAGGAGGGGTGGTCTTTCTGCTCTTCAGCCCAGAGGACACAACACCTGTGATTTCCAAAAAGAATGTCAAATTTGGACTTGTCTGACCACAGGACACTTTGCCACTTTGCTACAGTCCATTTTAAATGAGCCTTGGCCCATAGAACCAGGCGGCGCTTCTGGATCATGCTCAACAATGGCTTCCTTTTTGCATGATAGAGTTTTAGGTGGCATCTGTGGAGGGCACCGCAGACTGTGTTTACAGACAGTGGTTTCTTGAAGTATTCCTGGGCCCATTTAGTAATGTCAATAACAGAATCATGCCGGTGAGTGATGCAGTGGCGACTGAGGGCAGGAAGATCACGGGCATCCAGTAAAGGTCTTCGGCCTTGTCCCTTAAGCACAGAGATTTTTCCAGTTTCTCTGAATCTTTTGATGATGTTATGCACTGTCGATGATGAGACCTTCAAAAGCTTTGCAATTTGACGTTGATGAACATTGTTTTTAAAGTATTCCACAATTTTTTTACGCAAGCCTTCACAGGTTGGAGAGCCTCTGGCCATCTTTACATATGAGAGACTCAGCCTCTCTGAGACATCCCTTTCATAGCCAATCATATTACACAGCCAATCATGTTACACACCTCATGCCAGTTAACTTAATTACTTGCTAAATGTTCTTTCAGCTGATTCTCTTATATATTAATTGCTGTTTCAGGCCTTTTTTGCCTGTGTCCCAACTTTTTTGAGACCTGTTGCAGCCAGAAAATTTGAAATTTGAAAAGATCATTTTGTAGATTAAAAATGTAAAACGTCTCCGTTTCAACATTTGAAATGTTATCTATGTTCGATTTGTAAATAACATATTGGTTCATGTGATCTGAAAGTCATTGCATTTTGATTTTTTTCACAATTTACACTTTGTCCCAACCATTTTGGAATTGGGCTTGTAAAATTATTTTCCACTTTCCAGGAAAGTCTTTGTTATAGTGCTCAATCAAATGCATGTTTTAGATGTTTGCTTCACTTCATTAACACATCATGTACATTATAAATTATTAGGCCAGTACAGAATAGTATGCTGCGAACAGTGGCGCCTGACTCAGATTCTGTAGAACAGTAGAGTGACTGGCCTATGGGGTTCAGTGGGGCATGACTAACTGATCTTGCAAAGCACCAGAGTGACTGAATAGAATGTTTGGAACAATGGGACCTGACTGACTGGTATTGCTGAGCACCAGAGTGACTGGCCTGTGGGGAACAGTAGGGGCTCACTGACTGATACTGCAGGACATCAGGGTGACTGTGTAGTGCGTCGGGAACAGTGGGGCCTGACTGACTGGTACAGCAAAGCACCAGATAGACCGTATAGGATGTTAGGAACAGTGGAGCCAGACTGACTTGATACTGCAAAGTACCAGAGTGACATTTCAGTATGTTGAGAACAGTGGAGCCTGACTGACTGATACTGCAGACCATCAAGGTGACCATATAGTGTGTGGGGAAGAGTGGGGCCTCACTGACTGGTACTGCAGAGCATCAGAGTGACTGGCCTATGGGGAAGAGTGGGGCCTGATTGACTGATACTGCAAAGTACCAGAGTGACAGTTTAGTATGTTAGGAACAATGAGGCCAGACTGATTCTGCGGAGTAGGGGTGCAAACGAGTACCTGAGTAAACTAGTACTTGTCAGTCAAATTATAAGCGGTTACAAAAAATGATAATTGATAATCATTTTTTGGTCCTATGCATTTTCTACATTTTATTCTATGGAGTTCCCTCTTATGTAGGCCACAAATTATTTTTAAAAAGCTATCATGTTTGTTACGTTGTGTTTTAAAACCTCTTAATCCCTGACTCCGAGTAATGTTGGCATTACACGATTTTCAGTTGAGTGCCGTGTATACAAACCCCAATTCCAATGAAGTTGGGACGTTGTGTAAAACGTGAATAAAAACAGAATACAATGATTTGCCAATCCTTTTCGACCGATATTCAACTGAGCACACTACAAAGACTAGATATTTAATGTTTTAATGCTTTATTGTTTTTTTGGAAATATTCACTCATTTTGAATTTGATGCCTGCAACATGTTTCAAAAAAGCTGGGACAGGGGCTTGTTTACCACTGTGTTGCATCACCTTTCCTTTTAACAACACTCAATGCGCGTTTGGGAACTGAGGACACTAACTGTAGAAGCTTTGTAGGTGGAATTCTTTCCTATTCTTGCTTGATGTACAACTTCAGTTGCTCAACAGTCCGGGGTCTCCGCCACACATTTTCAATGAGAGGCAGGTCTGGACTGCAGGCAGGCCAGTCTATTACCCGCACTCTTTTTCTGCGAAGCCACAATGTTGTAACACGTGCAGAATGTGGCTTGGCATTGTCTTGCTGAAATAAGCAGGAATGTCCCTGAAAAAAAAGTCACTTGGATGGCAGGATATGTTGCTCCAAAACCGGCACGTACCTTTCAGCATTAATGGTGTCTTCACAGATGTGCAAGTTACCCATGCGATGGGCACTAACACATCCCCATACCATCACAGACTTTTGAACTTTGCGCTGATAACAATTTCGATGGTCCTTGTCCTCTTTAGCCTGGAGGACAAGATGTCCATGATTTCAAAAAACAATTTGAAATGTGGACTTGTCAGACCACAGCACACTTTACCACTTTGTGTCAGTCCATCTCAGATGAGCTGGAGCCTACAGAAGCCGGCGGCGTTTCTGGGTGTTGTTGATTTATGGCTTTTGCTTTGCATGGTAGAGTTTTAACTTGCACTTGTAGATGTAGCAACTAACTGTGTTAACTGACCATGGTTTTCTGAAGTGTTCCTGAGCCCACATGGTAATATCCTTTACAGAATGATGTCAGTTTTTAATGCAGTGCTGCCTGAGGGATGTTGTTCTTAAACTGTTGGACTATTTGCTCACACAGTTGTTCACAAAGTGGTGAACCTCGCCCTCCTTGCTTGTGAATGACTGAGCCTTTTGGGGATGCTCCTTTTATACCTAATCATGACACTCACCTGTTTCCAATTAACCTGTTCACCTGTGGAATGTTCCAAACAGGTGTTTTTGAGCATTCCTCAACTTTCCCAGTCTTTTGTTGCACCTGTCCCAGCTTTTTTGGAACATGCTGCAGGCATCAAATTCAAAATGAGTGAATATTTCCAAAAAAAACAAACAAACAAGTTTATCAGTTTGAACATTAAATGTCTTGTCTTAGTAAGTTGCAGTTTACTCTATTGAATATAGGTTGAGAAGGATTTGCAAATCATTGTATCCTGTTTTTATTCATGTTTTACACAACATCCCAACTTCATTGGAATTGGGGTTTGTAGAAGCCTTTAGTGCATGATAGATCTCAACCTCTGCCCTTTTTTGATCACCTGATTAACAATCAATTAATTTATGCACTGAATATTGAAGACCAATACATAAGCCCGTAAGAAATGAGCAAGTGACCTTGGATAGGCTACATTGAAAACGTACATGTGTTACATGTAATATTGTTGGGATGACAATTATTAAAGTAATGAATCCAAAACTTTCTCTGAATTCCATTTCCCATTTTAGCATTTTTTGCGTTTAACGTAGGAAAAATCATCTCAGGCGTGTCAAACCCTAGGAAACATTGGTGCAGAAAGGTGTCACTTATAACCTTAGCTAACTGTTTTATGAGCTACAGGGCATCAACACCCAAAAAAATAAAAGAAAATCCTCGGACAAAAACCTCAATTTGAATAAAGTGATTCATTGCATTAAATGATTTCTTTTTTTATTAAATCACTTCATATGGCTCGTCAGTTTCATGAAAATAATTATATGCAGGCAGCAGGCTATTCTAGTAAGGTATAAAATAATGAAATGGCCTAATAAATGCACCCTGAGGGATCATCATCAGCAATCTTAAAATGCTCCCAAACTG